GAAACAAAAGGACTTCCAAATACCAAATAATTATAAAGAAGCGGAAAGGCGCCTGCACACCTTAGAGAAGAGGCTCGACCGAGACAGCAATCTCAAGCTACAGTACGAAGAACGCATCGAGAACCTCTTCAACTCGGGTTACGCAGAGCGCGCGCCAATGCCACCGCCGCAAGGAAGGACATGGTATCTGCCACACTTCCCAGTCATCAACCCTGCGAAACCGAACAAGCCGCCGAGATTGGTACACGACGCCGCAGCGAAGACAGCCGGAATATGTCTCAACGATATGCTTCACTCGGGGCCCGACTTATTACAATCACTGCCCGGAGTGATCATGAGGTTCCGACAGTATCCGTATGCAGTGAGCGCCGATATAAAAGAAATGTTCATGCAGATTAAAGTGCGCAAAGAAGATAGAGACGTTTTACGTTTCTTGTGGAGAGGCAAGCGGCGGGAGGACCAACCGGAGGAATATAGGATGACGTCAATCATCTTTGGAGCGACATCATCACCATGCACAGCATTATACATCAAAAATAAAAATGCTGAAGAACATGCAGAAGCGTACCCAGAAGCTGCGGTCGCCATAAAAAGAAACCATTATATGGACGACTACTTGCAGAGCTTCCACTCTGTCACGGAAGCTCAGCAAACAGTAAAAGCAGTCGATCACGTCCACAAACAAGCGGGATTCGTACTCAGCGGGTGGACATCGAACGAAGAAAAAACAATAGAAGAAATAACGACAGAGCATAGACAACACGACGCGACCGTGTGCCTGGGCGGAAAAGAAACTGAGAAGACGCTAGGGCTGCTCTGGCATGTACAAAGCGATCATATTGGATTCAATACTAACAATATGAAGATGCCTGCCGACGTAAAAGAAAAACAACGCTTGCCAACTAAACGAGAAGCGTTGAGCGTCATAATGGCATTATTTGATCCGCTGGGGTTAATATCACCGGTGACCACCCCAGCGAAGAGAATATTTCAAGACACATGGCGTTACAAGGCGGACTGGGACGACCCTCTGCCAACAGAATTAAAAGAAAAATGGGAAGGCTGGATTATTTCACTTAACGCCATAGAACAACTAAGAATACCGCGATGCTACGATTACAACCCGGTGTCGACGCGCCAACTACACACATTCGTCGACGCAAGCGAGGAGGCCTACGCAGCAGCAGTGTATTGGAGAACGGAGCGAGCAGACGGCAGCGTTAACATATCATTGGCCGCCGCCAAGAGCCGCGTAACACCACTGAAACCAGTTTCCATACCACGGCTCGAGTTACAAGCGGCACTGCTGGGAGCTCGTCTTGCGCAGACCGTGATCGATGAACACGATGGCGACATAGCAGGCAAGACATACTGGTGCGACTCCCGTACTGCACTGGTGTGGATAAGATCGGAGCCTCGCGCGTACAAAGCTTTCGTCGCTCATCGCCTGGCGGAGATAGAAGATACGACCAAAAAGAACGAATGGCGTTGGCTACCGTCTAAAGAAAACGTGGCAGACGACGCAACCCGAGCCACACCAGAAGGGTTCGACGAGTCGCACCGATGGTTCCGAGGGCCCCCGTTTCTGCAGCGTCCACCGGCAGAATGGCCGCAGGAAGAGAAAACGACACAATATGACACCGGGGAAGAGCGAGAAATATGTAACATCGCTGTTAAAAGTGAAGACTCGACAACAACACATCTTCCACAGATAGGAAGATTTTCTAAATGGATTCGCCTCATAAGGGCGACAGCGAGAGTCCTCCTATTCATCGACATGTGCAGACCAAACAAGCACGTAGTGAAGGCTGGGCGTAAACGCAACAAAGCAAGACAAGGTAGCGACCCTGGCTGGCAGAGAACAAACAAACGCAACACCCCCGCCAAGGAGAAAAAGGCGACTCCTACTGCCTCATCGCTTGTAGGAATACCGGCCGCTTATCATATGAGAGCCGAACAACTGTGGGTGCAAGCCAGTCAGCGGGAAAGCTTCACGAAGGAGCTCAAGAGAATCACCAGCGGAAGTGTTCCGGGAGGCGACGACAAACTAGGCCACCTGAGCACATACATTGATGAAGAGGGGACCCTACGCCTCAGAGGTCGAATAAAAGCGGCATCAGAAGTGGAGGACGACATGTACGACCCTCCCATATTAGACGGGAAGCACGCATACACTCGCCTGTACATAACACACGTACACGAGAGGCTGCATCACGGAGGCGTGGAAACAGTTGTGAATGAATTAAGACAGAGATTGTACGTAAGAAAAATACGTCCAGTAGTGAAAACTGTCGTTAAAGGATGCCTGCCGTGCCGTCTAAGAAAAGCCAAGCCTGCGTCACCGTCTACAGGAAACCTGCCGTCCGCACGCCTCGCTCATCACGCACGTCCGTTCACATACACCGGACTAGACTACTTCGGGCCAATAGAAGTCACAGTGGGACGACATCGCGAAAAGCGCTATGGCGCGTTATTTACCTGCATGACGTCGCGAGCAATACACATAGAAGTAGCCCACTCGTTGAGCGCAGACTCAGCCGTGTCGGCACTTAGGCGTTTTATGAGCAGAAGAGGATGCCCAAAAGAAATATGGAGTGACAACGCTACGTGCTTCAAGGCAGCAGACAAGGAGATGGCCGAAGCAGCACTCGCAGCCCTCGAGCACGAAACCACGTGTCAACAGATTGTGTGGAAGTACATACCGCCATCAGCACCGTTCATGGGCGGCGTATGGGAGCGAATGGTTCGCTCCGTAAAAGAAGCCCTACGCGTCACCCTCAACGAGCGCTATCCCAGCGACGAAACATTGGGGACCCTGCTCGCCGAGGTCGAAAATACTGTAAACTCCAGACCTCTCACACACGTCTCAGTCGACCCAGGAGACCCTGAAGCCATCACGCCGAATCACATCCTCATCGGTCCCAACTCGCACGTACCTGCGCCGGGACACTTCAGCAAGAATGACGTGACGGCCCGCCAGCAATGGAAACGAGCTCAAGCCCTAGCCGACGTGTTTTGGAGAAGATGGGTTAAAGAATACCTGCCCCTACTCCAACACCGGCGGGAGCCCAGCAGCATAGGAGTATCGCCGAAGATTGGAGACCTAGTCATCATTTGTGACTCCAATCTACCACGCAACACCTGGCCCAGAGGGAAAATAAGTAAGGTATATCCTGGCGTCGACGGAGAGGTACGAGTAGTGGACGTAACCACCGGCAGTGGGCACATACTAAGAAGACCAACGAAGAAGATCGTCGTGCTAACAGAGGGATCGCAGCGTGGCGACGGCGGGAGAATGTGCACGACGCAACAATATTAAACAAACGAAAGAAAATGCTTATTGTAACCGGCGCTAGTTGAACAACCTAGGAGCGGTGGGCGGAGCCATGACGACGGTGTAATTATCAGGCCACGCCTCTGGTTCGACAACTAGCAAGGGTTATACGGCGGAACTAGCGCAACCTTATGTTGAATTTAAATTATAATTTGTGTAAATAATTGTATTACTTGTATCGAACGATAAAAAATAATGATTGTATTATAACTAAGTTTAAGGTTGAGTTGTAACTGTGCAATAACTCTCCCAAATAAAGGCACCGTATGAACAGGGAGAGTTAGCATAGTCTTCTAATGAAAACTATAATTGTTAAATATAATAAATGTTTACTTTATTATATAATAAATATATTAGGCCGTTAGGCACATAAAAAAAATAGTAGTAGTGTAACCAAAGAGCATGTTATCGTGACGCGGCCGAGGAGCAAATGAAGCCACGCGCACCGCGCCACGACGTTTTATATTTATAGTGCTGAGGCGGGGGGAAGGATTCTCCGCCTAAAGCAGCTGAAAATTATAATGTAAACCTGTAAATAAGTAAAAATATTGATATGTACACCCTAGTCTAACAAGTAGTTATAAGAATATTATATAGTGAATTATGTTTATTAGTTTGTAAGGTTATTAAATAAATAAAGATAGGCGCGGGGGTGAGGCAAGGGTCCGCTGGCCAGCAGCGGCCAAATCATATAAAAGACGGGCCGGCCGCTAGGGTCAGCAGTCGCTCTCCAGCCACCGAAAAGGCACCAGCAAGAAAAGAAAAAGTACAAGTTCCTCCTCACCGCCGCTTGCCTCCAGTTAAAAGCAAGACCAGCGCGTTTTATTCCATTTTTCGCACGGCATTACGGCGATCCGTAATAAATTTCATACATTCGATTTTAGTGTTAGTGCTCGGTTCATGACAATCACGATCAATTACGCCGGCAGGCGGGTAGGTGTGAATACATGACTCCATAAGGTAATTTGTTGCAAAAAAAAAAACAATTAGCAATAACATTTTTTTTAATAAAATAAAATGAGCAAGTATACAACGTTTTTATTATGCGTTTTCGTATAAAACTACAAACTAGTAATATTTTTACATTATATGTTTAATATTATGCGCGATTCATTGAGCACGACGCTAAAATAGAGCGAATTCGTACACATGCTCTTGCTAACAAACTTACAACAACAACATTAGATGACCGACAAATTGATTGCGTGAGAGAATGAGGGCTAATAATTTTAAGTTCACCAGATGTCGTTAGTTGGGATTGAGGTGAAGTTTTTGTTACAGTGTTAAAATAAGAGTTCATCAGTTTCTAGAGAAGTATATAAATAAACAAAATAATGCCACAGTAGTTTGGTCATTAATTTTTGCACACTCTTTAATTATTTATTTTATTTTTCTACTATTATCCGTAGTTTGCCCATATTTATTTTTAATCTAATTAATATAAAATATAACTAATATTACAGAAAGAATTATTAACCCTTACATTTTCCTAACAACGTAATTTAATTTCCCCGTAATGTAATATATCAAATATTTTACCTCATTTCTAAGTTCTCGTGGATGGCCTCGTTGCAGTCGGTCACCTAGAAAAGTATAAAGCAAGTTGTGTGCAGGTCCAGATCGTGGTAATTTTTCGTGGCGCGATGAGTATGTAGACAGGGCGCGGTCAGCAGCGGTCGAGCAGGCCGCAGTAGGCGGCCAGCGCCAGCAGCGGCGCGGCGGTGGGCGGCGCGGGCGCGCAGCCGGCCGACGCCGCCACGTCCACGTGCGTGTACGGCACGTTTGCTGCGCCGCCCGCCCCACCGCACGCCCCCAAGCCCGCCAGCCCGCTCACCATGGCCAGGAACGCAGCCGGCGTCTGGTGCCCGCGATCCACTTGTGTCGACGGCAGCGGCACCGCCTGCAACCGCGCTTTAATCACAATATGCGATCTATACTGTGATACCCTACGAGATAGAGTACAGTAGGTGCACTTTTAGACGCAATATAGATACATAAATTTATTGTGAGTATAGATTGGGTAACATAGAGCAACATGGGCCACCAGTTGACCGAAGGGGAGTAGCCATAGCGTTTTTACCCTATACAAATATTATTTTCATTTGAAGGGAGTTATAATGGTTATAGCCTATTTAAATCCAGCTCAGAACATAGGCTTCCCTCATAGATTGTTTCGTAGGGGTGATATTTGCCATAGTCGCTAGGCTCGAGCAAGCGGGTTGGCGACTGCAGCTTTTTATTTTTAGTCGTCACTAGAAAGACGCCGCCGCCCATCTCCTGATTTGTTTTCCTTTGTCACCTCTCACGACACCTGCGAAACGATATGGGGCAGTGGATATTCTTCCATCGCCAGTAGACGGTTCGTATTAAGGTGACGAGGCGGCGAGTGCGCACCTGCAGCAGCGCGTCGCCGGGCGCCTGGCCGCGGTGCGCGGCGAAGTCCTCGCGCCGCAGCCGCGACAGCTCGAGCGGCTCGGCCAGCGCGGCGCCGGCCGCCTGCAGCGCGCGCGCGGCGGCGAGGCGGCGCGCGGGCGCGTTGTCGAGCGCCAGGCCGTAGCCGGCGCCGGCCGCGCGCGCCGCGTGCCCGGTCAGCGTGGCCACCGTCAGCACGTGCGTGCGCGCGCCCGCCGCCACCAGCGCCGCCGCCGCCTCCGCCATCTGCACCCGCCGCAATAATAATAATAAGTTACTTTTGCACACCGAAGCCAGAATAAATTCTTTTCTTGCCGAGTTGAAGCCATCTGTTACCGTTACCGAGCAAAACCTAGCAGAACGAGTTCTGCACATCGTGCGCTCAAAAACGTTTGATGACGGCAAACTCAAACGCCTCCGACGAAATCGATTGTTTTTCGCGCCGCACTAGCTGTCTTGTCAGTATTTGCCGAAAGCTGTGCTCGAGAATAACCACGCCACGCTCTACTAAACCTCGTTCGTTTGGTCTCCCCTAGCAAGCTTCTGGTTAGGTCATTATTGCATGCATTCAGCGAAAGCGCACTGTATGTTCTACTATCGCCTAAAAATTAAGATTCCAACGTTTTGTCGCATGAAATCGTATCTAGCAATCATATTATACCTTTAAATAATATAAAAAGCACATTGTTAGAGAGATAAATGATTGTTGATAATGTTTTTTTAAATCGATTTAATTGCTATTTTTAAATAAAAAAGGGGTTTTAGTGGCTTATGGTGTGGATTTATCAAGTCGGCAAGGCTTGTAAACACGATAACTTGAAAATATCAATTGTTTACCTCAATATATTTTTAAAACTCTTTATCTATTGTTTAGGCCTAATATGGGCATTGAAATTTGCATCCAATAACGTTTGACCCGGCGCGTCACTCGATGGTATCGAGGTGAGGTAAACGCCGCCGCGGGGGACGGCTGTGTGCCGCTTCCTGTTGTCTCGGCCGTGTGGGCTGAGAAGCCAGTGTCTGGAACGCCGCGACTCTGTCTACTAGGATGGAATAAACGTTGTTGCGCGTCGGTCCGTCGCACGCCTCCTACGGTGTTATCTTAATTTGTTTTTCGTGATAACGAGGCCAATATCATATAATTAAGTATAAATTGTTACGCGTCGGTCCGTCGCGCGCCTCCTACGGTGTTATCTTAATTTGTTTTTCGTGATAACGAGGCCAATATCATATAATTATTGTTGTAACCGTTTTGAGTATTGTTTGCGACCGTCAGACGGTTGCGCTCGGCCGATGTTTTGATTTGAAGGCCTAAAATTTGGGTTAATTGTGCGCGTCGTTTTGAATTTACTATTGAATATTTGGGTTAGTAGTTAAGACCGCCTCGAATTTAGTTGTCTGTTTTGAGCGTGTTACATGACAAAGAGGCCTAATTTGAGTTTTGAGTGATTAAATGACCTTCTATGCCGTTAATTTGCATCGACGAGTTGTTTGTGCGTGTCATTTGATAGCGTGATAAGACTTTTACTTTGTCGGGAGAACGCTGAACTTTGTGCCTCGAGAAGAGACCGCGTTCGTTCTCGTGGTTATAATTTTGTGCTAAGTGAACCTGGGACTTTGAACCTTGAACGACCGTCCTTAAGTTGTGCAGCGTGTCACTTGTTTTAATGTCGATTAACGTTGATTTGGTTGAAATTGAAATTAATTAAATGTACAATAAAGTTGATAAACTAATATAGTGAAAATAAAAGCAGAAGTTTTCAATTGGTGAAAGCCCCCTGGATGCATCTCATATTTGGAGAGAAGCAGCGCCTGTGGATCTGCAGTCCTGGATCAGCGGGGATGTCAGGTTACACATTGTACACACTACTACACACTACTTACATGCACATCACTTATCACCTGACAGGAACCCCGTGGTCAACCCTACCTCCTGAAATCGGTAAGTGGTGCTTGCTTATTTGTCAGCCGTTTTTGGAACCGTTATCCATAGGCCATTGGGCTCCACCCTTGGTTTCTCGTCGAGGGGACCACTCATGGCCCCTGGTCCAGTCGACCTTTGTTGGGCCAAATAAGGGCATGTACATTTATCATGTGGGAAGCCATTGAATATAAATGGCAGTTTAATTTTGTTTAGTTTAGTTATAATAATTTTTTTCGGCTGCAAAATGGCGAAATTTTCGGTGTATTCAGCAGCCTTGTATGAAAAATTATTACTAAATAGAATAGAGACTGCGTCACTCAGTTCGGCGTTAGTCGCCGTCGTGAGTGGACATTGTTTCGGTTGTTTGCAGCGGCTCAAAAAGATCGCTGTACAAATACTCAATATTCGAATAACCAAATTTCTTAAATACATGATTATAATATAATGAGAGATTTTTTTTATTACAATATTTTAAAAGCACAGAATAAATAATAGTACTACGTACTAAAAGTAAGTAGTATTAATTTTTTCGTCATGGGTGTCATTTTCATGGTTTTCAAGGGTGTTGAAGCCGATAGTGCTGTCGAAATGTAAATCCAAGGTGGCGGCTGCAATAGGTATCAATTTTTTCATCATGAGTGTCATTTTCATGGTTTTCACGGGTGTTGAAGCGGATAGTGCTATCGAAATGTTAATCCAAGGTGGCGGCTGCAATAGGTATCAATTTTTTCATCATGGGTGTCATTCTCATGGTTTTCGCAGGTGTTGAAGCCGATCGTGCTGTCGAAATGTAAATCCAAGGCGGCTGCATTAGGTGTCAATTTTTTCATCATGGGTGTCATTTTAATGGGTTTCGAGGGCGTTTATGCCGATAGTGCTGTCGACAAGTATTTAAAATACTTTTAAAAATTCCGTATAGTCATGTTATACGTAATTTTTTTTAATGCGCTTAGAGCATGCCCAATTGGATTTACCAATATATTTTTTATTTATATACTTTAGTATATTAAATATATATTTGTAAATATTTATTATTCTCTTTTATATATTTATACAATCCAACCAAATTAAACTTAAAATAAAATAAAAATATAATAACTATAACATAATCTATTCGCTATACACAATATATTAAATCGATTAATAATTTCATAACCAACGTTCCACTTAATACTGCCAATTACGGACGGCAAAGGGAGCCGCCGCCCCGTCGCCCCCTCATACCCCGTTTCGCCCATTCCCCGCACGCCGCCCGGACATCACGTAATGCCTGCAGCCAACGAGCGCACAACAACGCCGCGTGGGAAAACGGCAAGGATGAAACCCTCGCCGCACAAATAAAAGAAGGGCATCCGACCGCATCATGGCTGCGCCCCTTTTTCTCTACAGAGGGCCACTTCCGATACGGCAGAAAAGCCACAATTGCCACTGCCAGTCTCACAGGTGGTGTTTAGTAGGTAGGCACTTAGGTTACGTAGTGAGTCCCACATAACCACGACAGCCGGCTATCGTGGTATACTTAGGGCATTCACCACCTCCCTTCCTCGCTTCCCGGAGGGTAGTCCATTCCATTGCATCTGGCCGCAAGAAACAACCGCATCAAGGTATTCAATTCGCAAACGGCAAACAACAGGGAAGACTCAAGAAAATATTCCCTCTATTGTTTCCTATATAATAGATTAATTAATTAGTAATTAACGGCCACATAATTGTAAATAGTAATAATATATAATGTTAAATTGTCCCACCTTTTCTTTCTTATACGATTTAATTTACTGAGCTAAGACTCAGTAAATTAAAGTTATCAAAGAAACACATACATACAGTCTACTTGCTCAATATCTATTAACTCCACAAAACTAATTGAACTCCATCGTCTAAACCTGGGATGGAGAAACTACGGCCCGCGGGTCATCTCCGGCCCGCGAAGCGTTGAAATTCGGCCCGCAACCATAAAAAAAAATCAAGTGAAGTTTTCATATTGTTGTAAATTTTATTCTCACTAATAGTGCGCGGCTCGCATAAAACAATCACCGTGATTGTTTTATAATTAACGTGATTGAATCACATATTGTTTTTCGAGCGCGGGTAGTATGAGCGAAAACTGAAAATTAAATTATCGACGGCGCGCTTTTTTCACTGCTAAAAATTTCAGCATCACAAATGGAGCCAGACTACGTGTTGTAATATATTATGTCACATGTCCCAACAAAGAACAGCGTTCCGCAACCTTCTACTTCGTAGCTAACTTAAGAGTTTAATTTTTAATTGCAATTTGCAGATAATTTTTTATTTCAATGGTTATTTTGTAATATTGCACAATAAATTAGTGGTCCAGAAAATACATAAATTTCAATATTTTTATTTCAGCAAATGATATAGCGAAAAATGCAACAACTTGGCCCGCCATATATTTCATTAGTAAATATTGGCACGCGAAGGAAAAAGTTTCCCCATCCCTGTTCTAAACTAACCCTAATACTCATCATCAAAATACTACATGCACGTGTTGTACATTTAAAATAAAAGAAAAAGAGATTTAAGAATTTTCTAAAACAACTCATCAACGCCCACCGAGTTGCGCACCGTGCGCAGTGCATGTATACATGTGGCAGGTGGCAGGTGGCAGGTGGCAGGTACCTCGGCGAGCAGGTCCGCCATGACGAGGCGTCCCTCGGCGTCGGTGTTGCCGACGCGCACGGGCAGGCCGGTGCGCGAGCGCAGCAGCTCGTCCGCCACGTACGCGTCCGCGCCCACCGAGTTGCGCACCGTGCGCAGTGCATGTATACATGTGGCAGGTGGCAGGTGGCAGGTACCTCGGCGAGCAGGTCCGCCATGACGAGGCGTCCCTCGGCGTCGGTGTTGCCGACGCGCACGGGCAGGCCGGTGCGCGAGCGCAGCAGCTCGTCCGCCACGTACGCGTCCGCGCCCACCGAGTTGCGCACCGTGCGCAGTGCATGTATACATGTGGCAGGTGGCAGGTGGCAGGTACCTCGGCGAGCAGGTCCGCCATGACGAGGCGTCCCTCGGCGTCGGTGTTGCCGACGCGCACGGGCAGGCCGGTGCGCGAGCGCAGCAGCTCGTCCGCCACGTACGCGTCCGCGCCCACCGAGTTGCGCACCGTGCGCAGTGCATGTATACATGTGGCAGGTGGCAGGTGGCAGGTACCTCGGCGAGCAGGTCCGCCATGACGAGGCGTCCCTCGGCGTCGGTGTTGCCGACGCGCACGGGCAGGCCGGTGCGCGAGCGCAGCAGCTCGTCCGCCACGTACGCGTCCGCGCCCACCGAGTTGCGCACCGTGCGCAGTGCATGTATACATGTGGCAGGTGGCAGGTGGCAGGTACCTCGGCGAGCAGGTCCGCCATGACGAGGCGTCCCTCGGCGTCGGTGTTGCCGACGCGCACGGGCAGGCCGGTGCGCGAGCGCAGCAGCTCGTCCGCCACGTACGCGTCCGCGCCCACCGAGTTGCGCACCGTGCGCAGTGCATGTATACATGTGGCAGGTGGCAGGTGGCAGGTACCTCGGCGAGCAGGTCCGCCATGACGAGGCGTCCCTCGGCGTCGGTGTTGCCGACGCGCACGGGCAGGCCGGTGCGCGAGCGCAGCAGCTCGTCCGCCACGTACGCGTCCGCGCCCACCGAGTTGCGCACCGTGCGCAGTGCATGTATACATGTGGCAGGTGGCAGGTGGCAGGTGGCAGGTACCTCGGCGAGCAGGTCCGCCATGACGAGGCGTCCCTCGGCGTCGGTGTTGCCGACGCGCACGGGCAGGCCGGTGCGCGAGCGCAGCAGCTCGTCCGCCACGTACGCGTCCGCGCCCACCGAGTTGCGCACCGTGCGCAGTGCATGTATACATGTGGCAGGTGGCAGGTGGCAGGTGGCAGGTACCTCGGCGAGCAGGTCCGCCATGACGAGGCGTCCCTCGGCGTCGGTGTTGCCGACGCGCACGGGCAGGCCGGTGCGCGAGCGCAGCAGCTCGTCCGCCACGTACGCGTCCGCGCCCACCGAGTTGCGCACCGTGCGCAGTGCATGTATACATGTGGCAGGTGGCAGGTGGCAGGTACCTCGGCGAGCAGGTCCGCTATGACGAGGCGTCCCTCGGCGTCGGTGTTGCCGACGCGCACGGGCAGGCCGGTGCGCGAGCGCAGCAGCTCGTCCGCCACGTACGCGTCCGCGCCCACCGAGTTGCGCACCGTGCGCAGTGCATGTATACATGTGGCAGGTGGCAGGTGGCAGGTGGCAGGTACCTCGGCGAGCAGGTCCGCCATGACGAGGCGTCCCTCGGCGTCGGTGTTGCCGACGCGCACGGGCAGGCCGGTGCGCGAGCGCAGCAGCTCGTCCGCCACGTACGCGTCCGCGCCCACCGAGTTGCGCACCGTGCGCAGTGCATGTATACATGTGGCAGGTGGCAGGTGGCAGGTGGCAGGTACCTCGGCGAGCAGGTCCGCCATGACGAGGCGTCCCTCGGCGTCGGTGTTGCCGACGCGCACGGGCAGGCCGGTGCGCGAGCGCAGCAGCTCGTCCGCCACGTACGCGTCCGCGCCCACCGAGTTGCGCACCGTGCGCAGTGCATGTATACATGTGGCAGGTGGCAGGTGGCAGGTGGCAGGTACCTCGGCGAGCAGGTCCGCCATGACGAGGCGTCCCTCGGCGTCGGTGTTGCCGACGCGCACGGGCAGGCCGGTGCGCGAGCGCAGCAGCTCGTCCGCCACGTACGCGTCCGCGCCCACCGAGTTGCGCACCGTGCGCAGTGCATGTATACATGTGGCAGGTGGCAGGTGGCAGGTACCTCGGCGAGCAGGTCCGCCATGACGAGGCGTCCCTCGGCGTCGGTGTTGCCGACGCGCACGGGCAGGCCGGTGCGCGAGCGCAGCAGCTCGTCCGCCACGTACGCGTCCGCGCCCACCGAGTTGCGCACCACGCCCAGCGCCGCGCGCACGCGCACACGCGGTTGTAGCAGCTCACATGCCTGCAAGGATAGACAGTTGCCTATGAAATGTGCCTTCCGATTAAATAAGCGCGACTAGTTTAATTCATTTATTAATTATTATTAACGAAGTAACCAAGTTTTCGATCATTAAACAAATAAATTTAAAAAACAGATAATTTTGTTATCTAGCTTTTGGCTCTTCTATAAAGTTTACCATTTCGTCTTTTTTTTTTGCTACTCACTAGACATGACATGCAAGCACATCTACTTATGGAAAAATAGAAAAAAGAAAGAAAGAATTTGCATTTATTTTTAAAGACAACATTTACTTAAAAGGTATACCATGAGTGTGTTACTTAAAGTTTTTACTTAATATATCCTAACTCAGCATATTATGCTGGTTGTAAATGAAACGATAATTTCATAAAAAAATCATAAAAATACTTAAACATAATACTGTGTAATTTAAATCAGCTGACTAGGGTCAATATTCGGGCGGACGCCGAACTCTTTTATCTAGCTCGGTACGAAACTGGCGAAACAATACACTTGATATTACTACTCACTATACCCTTCCCTTTCACACACGCTCTGCCGGCAGCGCACATATTTCAATGTTGCCAACATGTGGGGAATTTAAAGTTGGTTGGGGATTTTACGGGGATTGGTATTATGCAGGGGAAAACGCGGGGATTTTGAAAATCGATAGCCCGGGCCAAGTCAGAACCTTTTTTCATGAACTATAAATACTTATCTTAACATTTTTGTTAGGTTACTTATGAATATCGAATAACTTTCTTTAATTATTTTCATTGCATTAATTATTATTACCTTTTTTTCATAGTATAGGGTCACAAACGAGCACACAGTCCACCTGATGGTAAGAGGCTGCTGTGGCCCATAGACATCTACATTTATCCTCGTTTGCGAATCAAAATGCAGATGCGTTGCCACCCGTGAGGACTAAGATGGAATGTCTCGTTTCCAGTAAAAAGGGTCTCCGGTTCTCTACACTCACCATATTCTTGTTGTTACGTTTTGTGTTTCTTGTTTTGTTTTAATAATGCCTAACGCGTACGTTTATAGTGCTCGTGAATACGGCAACATGTTAATGTGCCTTGGAGAATCTCATAAGGCCACGAAGGATTTAGATCGGTAAGCTGTGTGTGGCTAGGTGGCTCGGTGGAGACAAACACAGTGGCAAAATTGTAGGTTAAGTAGATAAGTAAGGTATTTAGACAAGTGTTGTAAATTATAGGAATTGGTACGTTTGCTAGCTGCGGGCCGCGCGCATTCGGTTTCCGCACGATTATTGACCCTAGTCAGCTGATTTAAATTACACTGCTAGTTTTATGTTTAAGTATTTTCATGATTTTTAGGGTTCCGTGCCTCAAAAGGAAAATACGGAACCCTTATAGGATCACTTTGTTGTCCGTCTGACTGTCTGTCTGTCTGTAAAGACCCTTTTTCTGAGGAACGTGTGGAAGTATCAAGCTGAAATTCATATCAAATGCTCAAGTTTACTGTCCCTTGGAGCTGTGAAAAAATCAAAACTCCAAGCCAACGCAATCAAAAGATACAGCCGTTTATGCCGCAAATTTTCGACATTCGCAAGGGAATCAAAACCTACAGGGTACTTCCCGTGAACTCAGAATCTTAAAATTTGGTACGAAGCAACATATTATAGCACAGATAAAGGAAAAATTGCGAAAAGCCTAAATTTTTAGTTACATCATATAATTAAAATATTTTTAATAATTTTAAACGTATATACCTACGGACTTGTTCGGAACCCTCGGTGTGCGAGTTCGACTCGCACTTGACCGGTTTTTTTTAAATGAAATTATCGTTTCATTTAGCTGCACTAACATGATAGAGCGTGAATAAAGCTAATAAAACGTTGTAAAAAGATGATTTTTTATCCTCGGGATCGATTTTCTTTCTGACCCATCATCAAAGGTATCGTAAGTACTATCGTCTATCTTCGTTTTCGGGAGCGTTTCACTAACACCCGGTATACATAAGAAAATTAAAATAAAATGCATATATCGCGGTATACAAGGGATATGTATTGTACACACAAAGTTTGATGAAGAAAAAGAAGTGTTCATTAGAAGAGAGCGGGTTACGTACCTTGAGGAAGCCGGCGATGGCAGCGGCGCCGCACTTGTCGCGCGACATGCCGGCCATGGCGCCGCCCGTCTTCACGTCGCAGCCGCCCGTGTCGTAGGTTACGCCCTGAAATACCGCCACTCACACTTAACATCACGTCTCCCGTAAACAATCACGCGATATTTTGCGGGAGTCAGTTAAATGTTTAAATATAAAAATATTTGTAACTACTTTAACATGAGAAACGAAGTTATCTTGCTAAGATCTGAATTAAATAATAATTTTCATTTTATGAGGGTGACAAACGAACACACAGTCCACCTGATGATAAGTGGATGCTGTGGCCCATAGACGGTTCTTTACACTCATTATACAATACACAAAAACATTAGCGTTTGTGTATTGTATAATGAGTGTAAAGAATTCTATGAAATTTATAATCTAAACTTGACTACTGATCCTGGTGTTGAACTGATTAAACATATTTTCAGCGCATGGGAGAATTCATAGGATGTTTTGGGTATATTCTGTGATCTATCCAAAGCCTTGGATTGTATTCACCATGAGATATTTATCAGGAAAGTTCAACACTTCGGTGTAAGATTCGGTGTATGCCTTTAAATCTATTATTTAATATTCAAGTAATATGAACGCAAAAGGTTGTTATCAACAGTATGAGCTCTTCCGGGCTTATAGTATCAATGGACATGCCTCAGGGCTCAATTCTTGGCTCCTTTCTGTTTCTTGTCTATATTACGACTTATCTTACATAGTAGGAGATAACAAAGATGATAACTCTTTAATTTTCAAATTAAAAATGTCAATTACTAAAATATGACATAGTAAATAACCTAAATTAGTAAAGTGGTTTAACGTTAATAATTTGCATTTATATGGCAAAACTAAATGTATGAAATTCATAACTCCAAATGTCAAACATCGAAATACTGATGTAATTTTAAATGGAGCGGAGCTTAGTATTGTCGATAACACAAATTTTCTTGGAATTACACTAGACATGAAGTTTCGATGGGGCCCCCATACATCCAATCTAGCCAGGCAGACGTAGTTCTGCAGCATATGTAGTAAAAAAGATTAGAAATCTTACCAGTGTGGAAACAACTAGACTAGTATATTTTAGCTATATCCATAGCATATTGTCATATGGTATTTTGCTATGGAGAGACGCGAAGGATACTGGAGTCACATTTGTTTTACAGAAGAGGGCCATAAAAACAATCTGTGATTAAAAACCTAGAGTCGCAAAGGTAAAAATTTAATGGAATTAATATGTTAACTTTGGCCTCTCAATACATTTACGAAAATTTATGTACACAAAAATAAAGGTACTTTTAAAAACATAAGTAATATACATTCTGTAAATACTGGGCACTTTTTGCATCATTTTCGCCACACTAAAAGTACTTAATGAGTGCACGGGAGTCGCTCATACCTCACGTCTCTCACACCCCGAGATTTATGTGACATAATCGGCATAGTTTTAACATCAAAATTACGGCTAAAAATGAAATATGACATTGAATATTGTAACGACACCTATATATTAGAGGCTCTTTTGAAGCTCGATATATGAAAAATAAGGATTGTTTCTAAATACATAAAATCTCAAAGATTTTATTAAAAAAAACTAGAGGTTGTGTTGCTGATGCATAGGTTTAGCAAACATAATTTACCTTTCCAACCAGCATCACTGTCTTGTCGTAAGATTCAGGCTCGTAATCCAGAAATATTACACAACCTGCAATTGTCAAATACATGTTTATGATTATAAATCTTCGAATAGCCGGTATAATAAATCAGTGAATAAATTTTAGTTGAAGACTTCTTTTGAATAAAATATATTACTCTCCTTATTTTGCAAATATGGGTAAATAGAGAATGAGATGTAAAACATGTATTACATAATTACAAATTAAGCTGTGGTGTTGCTGTGATTTGGTCTGCCCCCCCCCCCCTCTTCTCATTTGGTGAGAAGTTCTCATACGTTAAATTTTGTTTTTGTTAAAAACTAAACAATCGATTACAATAAAAAATTAAACATATAGATTTCATAAAGTAATTGAGTTATCGTATCCATTGTGCAATTAAACGTCGAAAGGATTTATATATAACAAGAGTGACAAAAAACCACGCTTCACCTGAAGTGGATGCTGAAGCCCATAGATGCCTCGTTAAGGACATACGAGGACGTAAGAGGACAGGTCACTTCGTGGGGTAAATTTTATGAGCAGGTTACCCTAATTTAGCACGACCCGATGCACGTTCCGCGGTCACGTTCCGCGGTGTGTGCCTGTGTGTACATATGGCGCGGTGTACGTACCGCGGTGTGTGCATGTGTGTGTACATGTGGCGCAGTGGATGTTCCGCGGTGTGTGCATGTGTGTATATGTGGCGCGGTGGATGTTCCGCGATGTGTGCATGTGTGTGTCTCTGTGGCACGGTGGATGTTCCGCGGTGTGTGCATGTGTGTGTACATGTGGCGCGGTGGATGTTCCGCGGTATATGCATGTGTGTGTACATGTGGCGCGGTGGATGTAACGCGGTATATGCATGTGTGTGTACATGTGGCGCGGTGGATATTCCGCGGTGTGTGCATGTGTGTGTACATGTGGCGCGGTGGATGTTCCGTGGTGTGTGCATGTGTTTGTACATGTGGCGCGGTGGATGTTCCGCGGTATGTGCATGTGTGTGTACATATGACGAGGTAGATGTTCCGCCGTGTGTGAATGTGTGTGTACATGTGGCGCGGTGGATGTTCCGCGGTATGTGCATGTGTGTGTACATGTGACGCGGTAGATGTTCCGCCATGTGTGAATGTGTGTGTACATGTGGCGCGGTGGATGTTCTGCGGTGTGTGCATGTGTGTGTACATGTGGCGTGGTGGATGGTCCGCGGTATGTGCATGTGTGTGTACATGTAGCGCGGTGGATGTTCCGTGGTGTGTGCATGTGTGTGTACATGTGGCGCGGTGGATGTTCCGTGGTGTGTGCATGTGTGTGTACATGTGGCGCGTTGAATGTTCCGCAGTGTGAGCATGTGTGTGTGCATGCAGCACGGCATACCGCGGTGGCGCGGCACGGCGTGCGCGGCGCGCGCGACGGCGGCCAGCAGCGGGTAGCGGCGCCGCAGCTCGTCCGGCTCGTCCAGCACGCGCACGCGCACGCAGCTGTCCGCGAACGCGTCGCGCACGTACTTGGCCACGTTGGGCGGCGACATGCGCTCCGGGTCCGCGCCGCCTATGTCACGCGCCAGAGCCCTAACACGGGTAAGCGAAGTAAACTTTGAGGAGAAAGTTCCACACGTTTTTTTTTTATATACAAGTAGGGTGACAAACGAGCACACAATCCACTTGATGCTAAGTAGATTATATGGCCCATAGACATCTATGTACACGACCCTAGTTGCCCCTACAAAGGTCGATTGTCCCGGGGCCCATCATCTGAACACTTGACGAGCAACAGAGGACGGGGCCCAAATGGCCTATGGACAATTATTCTATAAGGGCTGCTAATCAAACAAAAACTTACCGATCTCCGGAGGTAGGGTTGACCACAGGGTACCAGTAAGGTGATAAGTGAGGTGTATGTAAAGTGGTGTGCGAAAGTGTATATATATGTAACCTGACGGTCCGATGTAATCGGAGAGAAGATCCACAGGCGCTGCTGTTCTCCAAATGTGCGCTCCCTCCAGTCGTAGTTCACCAGTTGAAAACTTCTGCCTTCATTTCACTATTTCAGTTTATCAACTTTATTGTACATTTAATTAACTTCAAACTCAACTAAATCCCCGTTAATCGTAATCAAACAAGTGACACACGGCACAACTAATGAACGGTCGATCAAAGTTCAACGTTCCATTTTCACTTAGCAACAAATTATAATCGAGCACACGCGGTCTCCTCTCGAGTCACAAGGTTAGTGTTCCACACGACAAGCTAAAATTCTTTCGTACGATATTAAAATACCACGCCCGCAATCAGAACTCAAAATCAGCCTCGTTGATACGTAAAACGAACGAAAATAGTCAACATACAAAAAAGGCACTTAACGCGACGTTACAATTCAACATTAACTTCCAAAAACAATTAACCGGGCCACGCCCTCGAAATGGAATGCGAGCACCAAATTCCAGGCCGTCTGTCCACTCGGCGTACGCGCACTGTTCCGCGTCACACAAGCAAATGAAATATTGCAAAATGTACTTCAACATGCAATCACTATACAAATTGACGTAAATTACTTGCAAACGAAGTTACTTTAATCACTCAAATTCAAAAACAAACGCCTTGTCGTTACGTAAACGTACCAACAAAAAAAACGACACGAATTAGAGGCTTCCTTTTGCACGCGACCTCGCAGTTCAACGGAGCTAAACGACTGTCTCATGGCGCGCGACGCCTCGGCAAACGAGGCCCGTTATCTCCACGTCATGCCTGCCAGGAATGCGCCGCGTCGCGCGCTTCATAATATTGCTTTTAAAATTTAGCATTTGGCGCAAACAATCTACTTTCATCCTCAACTATGAATCTAATCAGATGCCATGTCACCCCTGACGGCTAAAATGGAATTCCTCGTTTCCAGTAAAAAGGGTATTCGGTTTTCTACAGTCATCACACGAAATACAGCAGCATTAAGTTGTAATTTTACACTGGTATTCTGTGAGAGCGTGGGCCTTTCCCTATTGAGACGACTCATTCGTGATATAAACATAATATAGCATCATCATCTTTATCTATCCTCAATAAAGAATCAAAATGCAGATGCGTTGTCACCCGTGAGGACTAAGATGGAATGCCCCTTTTCCAGTATAACGGGTCTCCGGTTCTCTACACTCACCATATGAAAAACAGCAGTGCTGTTTTTCATATGGTGAGTGCTGCTATTTTACGCTGGTATTCTGTGAGCACGTGGTCCTTCCCCGGTCGAGCCGACCATTCGTAGTAATATAGCTCTACCACGTAAAGCATGGCTGTACCATTTAATTAAGATGATTGCTATTTAAATTACTTACAGTTGGTTACTGGTTTATCTATACAAACATATAAATAAAATTGACGTGTCTGTCGGTAATATCAAAATAACTGCCTTATATGCTGAGGTGGTTATTTGGATGCCAAGACATGAATTATTATCTTTCTAATATTTGTCTCTCTCTGTTCGGGCTTATCTTCGGAATGAGTAAATCGATTGTAATGAACTTCACGAACAGATAGAGAGCAATGCCAGGAGTGATCAAGATAGCCTAGACCCTAGATACAATTTCTTGAAAAACTTAAGTTTTTTTTGGAAAGATCGTACATTTTTTGTAATATATTATGGTATATAAGGATTATTTTTTTTCTAAATAGCACCACATTAATATAATCTAACCAGGTGAAGCCGGCGGGTCGCTAGTATAGTAATAAAAGTTTATTATCTTATATTTGATATGCTTTAGAAAAATGAAATATTAAAACAGCTAGTAAATAGAATATATACGTGGTAGAGCCATGCTGCAGCTATATTATTAGTATAGTTGTAGCACGAATGGGTCGGCTCGACCGGGGAAGGATCACGCTCTCACAGAAAACCAGCGTAAAATAGCAGCTTAACGCTGCTGTGTTTCATATGGTGAGTGTAGAGAACCGGAGACCCTTTTTACTGGCAAAGAGGCATTCCATCTTAGTCCTCACGGGTGACAATGCATCTGCATCTTGAGTCTTTATTGAGGATAGTTGTAGATGTCTATGGGTCACAGTAACCACTTACCATCAGGTGGAATGTGTGCTCGTTTGTCACCCTATCCTATAAAAAAAAGCTGCGGGCTGCGCGGACGCCCACACACCCAGCGCTGTCAGCCACTCCGGTAGAACATATATTATGTACCTGGCGCGCTCGAGCGCGACGGCGGTGCGCAGCAGCGGCTGCAGCGCTGCGGGCAGCGCGGGCGCCCACACGCCCAGCGCTGTCAGCCACTCCGGTAGAACATATATATTATGTACCTGGCGCGCTCGAGCGCGACGGCGGTGCGCAGCAGCGGCTGCAGCGCTGCGGGCAGCGCGGGCGCCCACACGCCCAGCGCTGTCAGCCACTCCGGTAGAACATATATTATGTACCTGGCGCGCTCGAGCGCGACGGCGGTGCGCAGCAGCGGCTGCAGCGCTGCGGGCAGCGCGGGCGCCCACACGCCTAGCGCTGTCAGCCGCGGTAGCCGCTCTGGGTACGACTCGCGCACCTCCAGCGGCTGTGTACCACCAATAAAGGTGAACGATTACATTTTAGAAAAATAACTTTATGATTATCTTAATACTAAGAATGTTCTATATATGCTAACTTAGCAAAATGTCAACTTAGAAACTGAGGTTTGTCATGATACGTTAAGCGAGGTTTTTACATAAACAAGAACTTAAAATACAACTTGAAAAATATTCGTAATCCGTAGACACCAACTGAATGTCGTAAAAATTGCCTTCCGACATACTAGGTTTTTTTAATAACTTAAGGGTGATAAGCACACAGACCACCTGATGTCAAGTGGATGCTGAAGTCCACAGACTGAGAGCGTAACTCTTCCCCGGTCGAGCCGATCCATTCGTGCTGCAACCATAATATAACAACAGCTTGGTTCTACCACGTATACAGAGTATAGAGGAATTACTATTAACTTAATAAATATTCAAAGCTAATTTGGGTTTCCTAAGGAGTATCGTCAAAAAAAATCAGCGATCTCCAATCCACCTGCTAAACGTACTAACAAAATATAAATCATCTCACAGGACTCGGAAATAGTATTCTTAAAATAGAGCTACAGAGCTAAAAACAAAGAACAGTAACTTATATTAAATTTTAATTACTTATAATTTTTTTACTGGTGGTAGTGCGGGATTAGGCATAGTCTGTATCTTGGCGACCAAAATAATGTTCTAGATAATGAGCAAAACTATTTTAAGAAGTGTAAAGGGTGCTCACGATGTAGAGTGCTTCTAGCGCGGCGAGCAGCGCGACGAGCTCGCTGCGCGACCAGTCGTCGTCCACTTCGAGGCCAAGGTCGCGCGGCCGCAGCGCCTGCAGCGCCAGCACCGGCCGCCGCGCGCCCGCCGCCACCGCGCGCCGCATGCCCGCGCGCACCGCCTCGTACACGCTCCTGCACACGCCTCGTGCATACTACCTCACGGACAGTACGCCACCGACACATTGCGCACAACTTACGTACACGCTCCTGCACACGCCTCGTGCATACTACCTCACGGACAGTACGCCACCGACACATTGCGCACAACTTACGTACACGCTCCTGCACACGCCTCGTGCATACTACCTCACGGACAGTACGCCACCGACACATTGCGCACAACTTACGTACACGCTCCTGCACACGCCTCGTGCATACTACCTCACGGACAGTACGCCACCGACACATTGCGCACAACTTACGTACACGCTCCTGCACACGCCTCGTGCATACTACCTCACGGACAGTACGCCACCGACACATTGCGCACAACTTACGTACACGCTCCTGCACACGCCTCGTGCATACTACCTCACGGACAGTACGCCACCGACACATTGCGCACAACTTACGTACACGCTCCTGCACATGCCTCGTGCATACTACCTCACGGACAGTACGCCACCGACACATTGCGCACAACTTACGTACACGCTCCTGCACACGCCTCGTGCATACTACCTCACGGACAGTACGCCACCGACACATTGCGCACAACTTACGTACACGCTCCTGCACACGCCTCGTGCATACTACCTCACGGACAGTACGCCACCGACACATTGCGCACAACTTACGTACACGCTCCTGCACACGCCTCGTGCATACTACCTCACGGACAGTACGCCACCGACACATTGCGCACAACTTACGTACACGCTCCTGCACACGCCTCGTGCATACTACCTCACGGACAGTACGCCACCGACACATTGCGCACAACTTACGTACACGCTCCTGCACACGCCTCGTGCATACTACCTCACGGACAGTACGCCACCGACACATTGCGCACAACTTACGTACACGCTCCTGCACACGCCTCGTGCATACTACCTCACGGACAGTACGCCACCGACACATTGCGCACAACTTACGTACACGCTCCTGCACACGCCTCGTGCATACTACCTCACGGACAGTACGCCACCGACACATTGCGCACAACTTACGTACACGCTCCTGCACACGCCTCGTGCATACTACCTCACGGACAGTACGCCACCGACACATTGCGCACAACTTACGTACACGCTCCTGCACACGCCTCGTGCATACTACCTCACGGACAGTACGCCACCGACACATTGCGCACAACTTACGTACACGCTCCTGCACACGCCTCGTGCATACTACCTCACGGACAGTACGCCACCGACACATTGCGCACAACTTACGTACACGCTCCTGCACACGCCTCGTGCATACTACCTCACGGACAGTACGCCACCGACACATTGCGCACAACTTACGTACACGCTCCTGCACACGCCTCGTGCATACTACCTCACGGACAGTACGCCACCGACACATTGCGCACAACTTACGTACACGCTCCTGCACACGCCTCGTGCATACTACCTCACGGACAGTACGCCACCGACACATTGCGCACAACTTACGTACACGCTCCTGCACACGCCTCGTGCATACTACCTCACGGACAGTACGCCACCGACACATTGCGCACAACTTACGTACACGCTCCTGCACACGCCTCGTGCATACTACCTCACGGACAGTACGCCACCGACACATTGCGCACAACTTACGTACACGCTCCTGCACACGCCTCGTGCATACTACCTCACGGACAGTACGCCACCGACACATTGCGCACAACTTACGTACACGCTCCTGCACACGCCTCGTGCATACTACCTCACGGACAGTACGCCACCGACACATTGCGCACAACTTACGTACACGCTCCTGCACACGCCTCGTGCATACTACCTCACGGACAGTACGCCACCGACACATTGCGCACAACTTACGTACACGCTCCTGCACACGCCTCGTGCATACTACCTCACGGACAGTACGCCACCGACACATTGCGCACAACTTACGTACACGCTCCTACAACTTTGTAACTGGTACTTACCAGCACTAAGTTTGCATCAACACAACACAATTTCTTTCTTTGTTAATGGACATGTACTATTATAATTTTTCTAGTATCAAATAATAATGAAATTATCCTCTAAAATATACTTCTTCACACTATGTTATGCGTCACATTGCGAAGGTATTAGGAGATATTGACGGCAGCTTGAGGCTTGAGCCAGCCATAGTTGATGGCGATAGTATCTCAAGGCGCCTAAGTTCACATCTCCATCGCAGCACTTGCTTTACTGTTTTCACTAATAGCCCATATGCGCAAATACACAAAATCGCACGAACTATAGTTATCACTAATTCTACTTCCAACCATTGTTTTAACAATACTACAAAAGCAGCAATTCGCTGGCGGTCAAGTTCCCATCAAAACTCCCACAACACACACATTTCCACCTACATCTAAACCATTGAGAGTCTACTGCTGAACCGAGGCATCGCCCATAGATTGTCTTAAGGAATATCGACATTCTGTGTATCAGTTTACCTATGTCGCCTCTTACGACACTCATTGGATGTTCTGGGACAAAATCCAATACGGATTTGCTTACGCCGCCACTACACGGCGAAATATTACAACAAATTATATCCACGCGATAGCAACTAGCGTATCACGTACTTATACTCAAAATTAACCTTTATAAAAAAACTGAGTCAGGAAAACAACGCCATCGCTTTAATAAGACTCTACTGCCGTAAGCTTTCTTTTGCATAAGTAAAAAACTAAGTTACAGTGCATTTAATTGCAAGTGGCTACTGCAGTTCATAGAACTACAAACAGAAAAGACTAGAGACGCATTGTCACATCTGAGGAGTAAGTCACTCACAGCCTATAATTGTACTGGCGTTCTGTACCCTTTACACCGGAATACAGCAATGCAAGCAATGCTATAAGCCGGCAGAAATGAGTAAGAGGTTGGTGAAGATTAAAGAACATCCTGCCACGAAGTAGTCGTAAGAAAAAGCAACAAGGAATTCTCTCTCAACAGTAACTATTTAACCTACAAATTGTACGCAAGTCGAAATGTCTAACGAAGTACATTATGTCTTATATTTTATGGTATTCCTATACCATAGATTCAATGAGCATCAAAAAGGTATACAAACCTCACGTCATCGTATGGTGTTAGCGGACCAGTTGGTGAGATTATCAAGCGATTGCCCGCCACTAAATCGCACTTTATTAATGACACCTCCTGTGTAAAAATACATCAATTAGTCGACATAATAAACTCAAAGTCAAAATTACTTTATTGAAGTTAAGACACAGAATAAAATATAATACTAACGTAATTTCAGGTTGATTAAAGCTCAGTATATTTCTAACGGTATTAAAAGTGAGACCTTTATAGTCACCATGTAGTGTTGATGTCAGAATATCTACTACCCAACATCGTCCAGTGGGTGTCGTAAGAGGTAAACTTCATGTACAATTCATGACCATGCTAGGAATTTTTCTGCGTGATAGACTTCGTTAACGAGGATATGGGCAGTAGAACCGGAGTAAACTGAGTTTCGGGTGGCTGCCTCGCATCGGTAAGCGAAAAGCGGCCCCCACTAGATGGAGTGACGACCTGGTAAAGTTGCAGGAAGTCGCTGGAGACCAGTACTACTTGCACATTTCTAGGGAGAAGCCTATATTAAGCAGAGGACTAAGATATGTTGCTATAGAGAAGAATCAGCAAAAAAAACTTTACTGTTTTTTAACTCCCAAAGAAAAAAGGTAAAAGGTTTAACGTGTGTATCTGTGTGTCTGTCTGTGGCATCGCAGCTCCCAAACGGATGAACCGATTTAGATTAAGTTTTTTTTTTTAATTTGAAATGCGACTTGGTCGAGTGTTCTTAGCTATGATTAAAGTCAATGCGTTCAGCCGTTTGAAGATGATGAGCTCTTTTAGTTTCGGGGGTTTTTTAAATTTTTAATTTAAGTTCTTACATTTTAATAATCGAATGAAATTATAATATTATATTGTTATGTTGCGCCGTGTAGCGGCGGCGTAAAAGAATTCACTAACTCATGTCATCTCGTGGGTGTCGTAAGACAGATGACATTGAATGATAAGTTACAGCCTTAAACGTGAAGCAGAAAGATTTTTCGAATTTTTTTTGGTTAAAGGCTAAATGAAGAAAACATGTAGTATTCGTGGTGGTGTTGTACCGTCAGCAGCGCGTTGTCCAGCTCGACCGCGGCGGCCACGACCTGGGCGAGCAGCGGCGGCGGCGCGGCGCCGGGCAGCGTCAGCAGCACGAGCGCGTCGTGCTGCGCGCTGTCCGGCGCCGCCTCGCTCACCGCCGCCCCGTGCACGTCGTACGACCCCTCCAGCTGCTCGGGCTCGCCCGCGCCGCTCATCCTCTCTCACTCTTTTCTATAATTAAAAACACATCACTATTGTTAGAAATGAGGGTAGAAAATAAAAGATAATACGAAGAAGTGTGGGTAGAACTGTAATCTCCCTCCCACTCGTTCTAACACTAATAATAATGTCTTCCAGACTGAATTTCAGTCACGAAAGTCAGTCTCAACGGAGACCAGCCATTTACGCAGGACAGGATTATAGTGGCCGAGTGTATGCATAAACACAAGTGCACTCTCTATTCCCTCACATTTTAGTCTGATGGGACAGTAATTCGACACGATTGCAGAGATATACTATAAGAAATTATCCCATTTCTGATTTTAGAAATTACTCTTGAAATTGTTTAAAAAAAGCTGGCCAAGTGCATATCGGGCCACACAAAATGTAAATGTAGCGTTCCATAGTTGCCCATCACAATACGTGGATATTCTTGATAATGAGCATAATAAGTGAGTTCAGGGTTTGTCCGCTATAACGACTAAAATGGGTCCAAATAGGAAGAAGAACTTATTTTTAAATCAGACTTATAAGGAGTGGTATTCAAAAAAGATTTTAAAAAAAACTTTTGGATTTTGAATATAATACAATTTATATCAAATCATTCACATGCCAAGGTACAAAGATGATCATAGTTGACTATCTATCTATATAGCCCAGCAGTGCAACCCTAAGATATACATATACATCCGTAATGAACCTTCACATAAACCACCACTGCCTTAAATTATTCTGAGGTTGCTTGTGAGGGGGTCATTGTAGAAGCGTGCTCGCCGCGACCCCTGCCAGCCCTTTTCAGGGCTGCAATTCTACTTAGTTGCGCACCCATGCCAACGAGGGTTAGAGCGTCCCCCCAAAGCGACGCACACCAGCTCGTCCCCGTTGGTGTAGAATGCAGCGCGCAAAGCGGCGATGGGGACCGCCACCCGTCACGCACAGCCCGACACGGCGGAAGGTGGAGGACAGAGTGCAGAGTTGGCACGTGGAATGTTAGAGGAGGCATGAGAGATAAGACGAATGAGTTGATCGAAATAATGAAAGAAAGAGAATTAGATGTCGTGTGTATGTCGGAGACCAAACGGAAGGGCAGTGGTACTGAAGAGCTCCCTGGCGAGGCGTTAGCTCTATGGTCCGGAGTCCCGGAGAGCGAGAACGCCTGCCAGGGAGTGGGGGTGCTGCTGTCTTCTCGGTTGGTCGATGTTATGACTGAATATAAGGTTGTGAACTCAAGACTTCTCTGGGTTCGCTTTAAATTGGGACTGACGAAGTTATTCCTTTTGGCTGTTTATGCGCCGGTAGCTTCGTCGTCCAGGGCTGAGCTGGAGGAGTTTTGGGAGAATGTAAGAGAAGTTCTAGATTTGGCTAGGGGAAACGAAAGAATTGTTGTATGTGGTAATTTGAATGGATGGGTTGGTACCGCTCGACCAGGGTACGAGTCGGTACTTGGAAAGTTTGGCGATAAAAGGGTTAATGATGCTGGCAAGCTTATACTGGCGGTGTGTAAGGAAAAGGGTCTTCTTGTGACAAACACTATGTTTAATCACAAGAAAACGCTACCGGACGGCAGTGACAGAACCACAGTCGGTCTGTCGCATCCGAAGCTGGAAGCTTCAGGAAGCGGATACTAGGGACAAATATCATGCGAGGGTAGCCGAAAAGCTTGACATCATCGATGGCAGAAAAGAATGTGTAGAAAGAACATGGCAGAACCTTAGGGATGGAATGGTAAGTGCAGCGGAAGAAGTGTGTGGAACAATAAAAAGAGGCAGTAGTAAAAGAAGAGATGCATGGTGGAATGATGAAGTGAAAGAAGCTGTAAAGAAGAAGAAGAAAGCATGGTTAGACTACTTGGCCTCTAGTAATGATAAGGATATGAGAGAGAAGATGAAAGAAAGATATAGGTTGCAGAAAGTTCACACGAAAGCACTGATTGAGGAAGTGCGTGAAAGGTGTAGAATGGAAGCAGACGAAAGGTTGTCGCACAACTTTAAGGAGAACTCCAAACTCTTCTGGAAAGAGGTTGGAAGGACCCGAAGTGGTGCGACGGCCTTAAGAATGAACAAAGTGCTTTCGAGAACTAATGACGTCCTCTCAGAAAAATCGGACGTCATGCAGCGATGGAGCGAATTTTATAGAGAAATGTATGCGTGTGATGATCTTAGTGAGGGATCCGGGGATGACGCCGTGACTGGTACGCCAGACCCGGACCTCGATGACACTGAGGTCATTAGTATGAAAGAGATTGAACGTGCGATTCGAAGTTTGAAATGTGGTAAAGCTGCGGGACTAGACAGAGTTACTGCTGAAATGGTCAAGTATGGTGGGCCTCGCGTCTGGGACAGCTTTCATCTGCTGTGCAATTTGTGCTGGCGGACGGGGGATGTCCCGGATGATTGGCGATCCGCAGTCATTGTGCCTTTATATAAAGGTAAAGGTTCACATTTAGACTGCGGGTGCTATCGGGCGATCAGCTTGACCAGTTTAGCAAGTAAAGTTTACTCGAAGGTTTTGACACGTAGGATGCAAGAGAAATCGGAAAGATTTCTATGGGAGGCACAATGCGGATTTAGACCTGGAAGAGGATGCACGGATCAAATATTTTCTCTCCGCATGATCACGGAAAAGCTTCTGGCTGCTAACCAGAAGATTTTCTGTGCTTTTGTGGATCTTGAGAAAGCATTTGATAAGGTTGTAAGGAAGAAAATGTGGGAACTGTTGCCGGGGTATGGTGTGGATGGTCGATTGCTAAGTGCTGTGCAGTCTCTTTACTGTGACTGTAAAGCCTGTGTGCGGGTAGGGCATGACCTGTCACCCATGTTTAACGTCCAAACGGGCGTAAAGCAGGGTTGTGTCATGTCTTCCTGGCTGTTCATACTGTATCTCGACAGCTGTTTACAGAAGCTGAAAGATAGCTGTTTGGGTGTGAAATTGGGTGACATTAAAGTAAATTGTCTGCTGTATGCTGATGATGCAGTGCTTATTGCACCATCAGAGGCAGAACTGCAGGCATTAGTCACGTGTATGAAAGAGGAATGTGAAATTAAAGGTCTCCGTTTGAATGCTAATAAAACTAAGGTTCTGGTATTTGAAAGGGACGAAGAGAGAACGAAGTGTGAAATATGGGTAAATCAGGAATGTCTAGAACAGGTAAATGAAATTGTATACTTGGGGAGTGCTTTTAGCCGGGATGGAAGATGTGATTTAGATGTGGACAGGCGTGTCGCTGCCGGGAACAAAGTCAATGGTGCCCTGACTGCGTTAGTCAAAAGGCAAGGCGTAGCGAAGAGTGCACGCCTTGCAATACATAACGCAGTGTTGGTACCGACTTTGTTATATGGCAGCGAAACCTGGGTATGCCAGAAGAAGCATAAAAGTAAGTTGAATGCAGTGGAGATGCGATCTCTTCGTAAAATGTGCAGCGTTACCATGACCGACCGGAAGCGAAACGAAGAGATTCGCAATATGGCAGGTTTGAAAGATGACCTTATCACAAAAATTGATAAGGGCGTGCTTCGGTGGTTTGGGTACGTTGAGCGAATGAGTGAAGACCGAATGGTGAAGAAAATATATAGCGCGAAAGTTAATATTAAAAGGTGTCGAGGTAGACCGAGACTAACTTTCGAAGACCATGTGAGCAAATTGCTCGAAGAGGGTAGGGTCAAGAGTACTCGGATACCTAGACGTGCATGTATGAAGAAGATAATGAATCTGAAAGAAGCGAAAGAGGTTTGTAAGGATCGTGACACTTGGCGATCTGTTCTCTCTGGCTACCCCGTCAGGGATTGTGCGTGAAGATAAGTATAATAAGTAAGTAAGTAAGATTGCTTGTGTAAACCAAGAGTGAAACTAATGAAACTGTATGAGGCTATATAATTGTATGAATGAGACCTACAATAACTATCAACTAAAAAATAAGTGAAAGTAGTAAGTAAGAAAGATCCTCCCTGATAGTCTGGCAAATGAAAAAGTAAAGCAATAGTAGTAATGCATACATTAAAAAGTTATAATGCACCTAGTTTTAGGTCATTTTCTATGGAGTTGTGACAAAATTTTTACTAATTGAAGTGAATTTTATAAGTTGGTTGACCATTACTTGTTAACTTCTTAATTCTACTTAGCTGTGATAGTTTTCTTTATAACTTCATTATATATGCTACTATCGTGTATACTTTTAACATTTCCAAAACCAGCAGTTTAGTTGGTAGAGGAGGGGGGGGCACATGACGCAAATAAAAACACCACTTTAAAACTAAATATTTTGCAAACGGACCACTGAATCGAAAAGATGTTGTTCCACAGTCCCAGTGTTTTTAAAAAACCTATTTAATGATGTCCCACATGATGGAATAGACAGGTAAAATAAAATCATCCTCCATTGGTATGGGAAGTACACAAAATAAAAAATGTTTTTTAAGATTTTATTTCATAGTTTTCTAGACGTGATTAATATCTTTAACGATGCCAAATTACAGATTTGTAGCACCTACGGTCTCTGAGCAAAACCTCGGACGGATGGACATTGTGAAACTATAAGGGTTCCTTGTTGTGTAACTACAGAACCCTAAAAAATAACCCCGTAAGAACATTATGTTACATCACAAGAATGTGTGCTCGCTTGCCAGCTTGCCACCCCTATTATATAAAAAAAATATTGACATCTTTTTATTAAATCAAGAAGCCATGTACTGTATCCACAAACCACCAGATTCACTGCTTGCTCATTTGGCACCATCATATCTATTAAATTGCCTCTATTGGCATTATAGTTAGAAACATTTGCAAATTTCACACCTATACTTATCTGGCACCTGTAACTGAGCAGCGGGTTGATAAGTGTAAAACTAATACCTTCACATTGAACAGGCTGCACCATCATCAGTCAGTTGTTCAAATCCTTATTTATTAGATAGTGTGCATCAAATGCAGATGGGGATGGCCTTTGGAGAAAAAGTTGATACATCCCATTATATTCAAAAATCTAATTTAAATGATCTAA